AAAAAGCCTTTATTCAAAACCATCTTTTGATGTGCTTTTCGGATGATGGCCTTCAACAATGCCATAACTGTAACTGGTCTGTCTCCCAACTTTCCAAAATAGACTTTACAATTAAAAGTGAAAATCGTCCCCAAACTGCTTTACTCAAACAAATACATTATCGATCAAGATCTGAATAAGACTATTATTGCCAAGAAAATTAGAAAGTCGCCATCCGTAATTGGCTATTGTTTGTAAGTCGCAAAGGTATTGGACGTTCTCCTTTAAAATTTTCGCCCAATTTCCTTTTAAAACCTGAATGGGTTTCGAAAAACTATTCTTGCGACATTTTGTTTCTCTACGTACAAGAGAGAAGATACTTCAAATTGCGTCTTCAGGAATCTAATTGCTGAAAAAGCCCATATATTGGAAAATGACGGTTGACACCTTTTAGATAAAGATGGTTCTAAATTGTATGATCTGCCACCTGCTTGTGTCATGTGTAGATGCTTCAGTACAGATTCCTCTTAATCTCGTACTTTACTTAAGCGCTTCAACTTTGACAACCGAAGCCAGAGCTATCTTTCACGCTGCGAACCTTCCTAATAGAGGCAAAGTCAAAACTATCGTTGTCACTGATAGTTTGTGTCTGTACTAAAAACTAATCGAAATCTTTCGACGTCGAGATCGAGCAAGATCAACGCAAATTAAGGAATGCCATCACAACCTGCGGCGACAAAATTAAAATGCTCGGTTGATTGGGAAATGCTGCTGCGTTAAATTAATATTCAAGACTTCTTCAAACGTCCATTTGGTTAGCAGAATTTTTGTTTTGCTTTATATTAGATAAGAATAAAGTCTAAAGTAGTTTTACTTTACCGTTACATTATCGAAATCGCAAATCATAATTATACGTCTAACACATGTTAATGTTGAAAGATGTTTGCTGTGTGTTTAGAAGTGTGTTTGTTTACGAAAATGTGAACAATCTTGCGCCAGCACAAAAAATAATGATAATAATAAAGTTATAATATCAGCAGTAATTGTAACACCCGCTGGCATCAGTTTAAATTTCATTTCTTTTTTTATTTATTTATTTTTTTTTTTTGTTCCCGTTTAGCTCCCATGCATTCATTGATGAATGCAGAGGCAATCACATTCTAATGCAATATATATATATATATATATATATATATATGAATGTTCTTGGGCAGATACTTTATGATATCGTTTCTTTTCTCACTTTAGTACTTATTTCTCTATAGTTCTTGAAATAATTTAAAGGTTCTCTGCTTGCTCGCTCAGCACTAGTGTATAAGTGTAATGTGATGTGAGTTAACTTATCGAAAATGATATATAAAGTAGGTAGATTCACCTTTCATTACATCAATTTAATTTTGCAGTTAAGTAGTTTGCCGTCATTTTATATGAATGGGATAGAAATGCTTCTTAATGGAAGCAGTTTGTAATCAATCCTCATTCAAAATTGCACACTGTATTATTGCATTATAAAAAATCTGATATATAAAATTGAAAATAAAAAGTTATAAACTTATATTGTGTGTAGCAATAATTAAATCATTTTCACTTGTTAGCGATTATCTTTACAACTGCTATTAAAACACGTTACGTTTATTATACGCAGATATAAGCACCAGTGACCTAATAAAGTATATGTGTCCTTGAGCAAAGTGAAATTACGTCCAACTGTCTCCGTCTGCGTGCGGAATCGCTAGATGGACACTAACTGGCCTGAACAATAGTAAACAAATATTTAATGAAATATTAATGTTAATGCGCTGGATAAGATCTACCCACGCACTTTAACAAAACAATTGACGCATTCCATGTATAACGGATGCGGTGAAAGCGGTAACGATTCTAATAAACAACATTTACATTTTTGTTCATATCTTTAAAGTTCAGGAATTTTAAATCATTTCTTGTCCGATTCTAGCATTTGTCTCGTTATTTATTCAGTTCTCTAACAATGCCTCCTCATGATCATTTTACATAAACATGTTGATCTATGCGGTTGGCACCAACCGACCGACGAATGTCTCGTCGTTGTTTTTCGCATTCGTGAAAGTCGATAGATAGCGTAATACAGATTACTATGCGCAATTTTAAAAGAAATAAATTCAAACGTTATAGTCGGCTATGACGCCATTTAACCATTAAACAAACAGACTACATAGCTATTCTCATAATAAAATGTTATGAATATTGCACATTTTTGCCCTATGAGGACTTACTAAGTTCTTGAGAGATGTTAATTAAGGCGCGAGACCGTAAAAAGTAATTCATTTTTTGTGTTACTTGGGTCAAAAGGTTTGGAAAAGTAACTGGACTTGTAGATTAAACACAAAAATGCGTATAGAGCTAAATGAATTGCGAAAAAATCCTCGCATCGTAAATGATGTCGCATATGAAAAAAAAGGCTAATAATTCGAATATAATTTCATAAATCGCTAGGCTATGCAACAACACGTCAACCAGGAGATTATCCATCATGCAGTTTGACGGTAACATGGCATTTTTAATTGTCATTACTTTCCATTAAAAAGTACAATCGGATTGGTAATAAAAATTTCTTCAGCAATTTCGTTGCATTTCGACACCATTGTGATATATTTTTGCTTCTTACGAGTTCATGTAATTCGTCGGCTTTTTGGCTATGGATTTGTGGTAATTAAAATTGGAACGAAGGTTCTTTCAGCCATCACTACCTACACCCTACGCTACTACGGTACATTAAGTTCGTATAAGAATGCAAGTAACGCGTAAAAGAAGTTAAAGTTGACCCAGCTTATATTACACCTATCGAGTCAATGTCATATTCTAAGTCGGTAATAATAAGATCTTTGGGACCACGTTCACTTCATTCCAAATCTTAGATGAGTTGTGCTAAAATTTTAAGCCGCTATACCTACATACATAGAATAATGAAAGATATTTTCATAAACTATAGCTAATGATAGAAATTTGAAAATTGTCATATATGGTTTTTTCACAATATATCGTTAAATTTGTAGGTGAGTAATGCTTGTAGTGCATGGAGTTAAACCAGCTATGCAAAAGCTACCTAGCACTTATTTTTATTTCCCCCACTTAATAACGATTAAGTCAATGTAATAGGAGAAGTGTGGTAATTAAAACGACTTAAACTATTTTATTATTTTTTTTTTTTAAACCTATAAAGTATTTATAAGCGATGTATGTATATACATACACTCCTATATTTAACTATTTCTAAAAAGTACAGATGAAACGAGAAAGTTAATGCGTCAGTGCTAAACTATATATTAATTAATATAGCAAAAATAATATAATATAATATAATATAATATAATATAATATAATATAATAGAATATAAGAAGAAGGTTGTTCGAGAAGTCATTTCATTTTTTCCCAATAATGCAATTAATCGTATTTTTCACAGTCAGCTTCACACTTACGCCGCATAATCATTATAAATTCTATTTTGATTGGTGATATAGTATAGTTTGCTTGGGGAAAAGTTCCATTGAATCCACGTAATAGTTTTTGATTGTTGGTTCGGCATACATTTTTTGCTTTTTTTACTATCAAAGTATGTAGAGAAGGCTCCTCAAGGAAGAGAAAAGAATTGCCCGATTTGCGAAACAAACGAAATTACTTTTCGAACAACCGAAATTTGATAGAAGTAAAAATGCTTGAAACGAACATTTGCTTCTGAGAAAAACATTTGATATCTTTTTATCCGCATTCTTAAATATTACTTAGCTATATTAAGATTCAATCTGACGAAACCTTAGAAATGCTAAAGAAAATGTTTGAAATGACTTTGAAATAATTTTCTTTCGCAAGTAAAATTCTTATGCCTGTCATTGACAAATTTGAAACTTTCCGTAATTTCTTCTTGTGGCTGGAAACCTAGCCTCAGATTTGGAAATGTATTCAACTCTATCCACTATCTGCTGTCGGAACAGACACGCAGACGCTGACAAAAATTATAAAATCGAAATATAACGCCTACCACCACATACGCATTTAATTGATGGGCAGAAAACAAAACAATTTTATGCAAACGAGCACGAAATGCCTGTAACCAGGAGTCAAGTTTGACTCCTGGTGAGAAGGGAACCTATCAGTTACCGTTCACGGCAAATAAACTGATCTGATACTGAAAACGAATTTTTCAAATAATTTATATCATATCGATCCGTATCTCGCCCAATTTCTTCGCAAAGTTAATCACGCCATTAACAGAGTAATACCTTTCTAAATATGAATGGTAAGCTTCTCTACAGCAAACTGTTTACTGTAAAATGTGATAATCTCATGTTCTTATACGATCTCCATGACGTGTCAGACTGTTTTGCAGACTTTATGCGACCTCCAGAGCAGGGGGAAGTATAGGGAATGATAAACATAAATATATAAATAAAGGAAGGAAGGAAGGAAGGAATTTACTTACTATGAACCTAAAACGTATATAGTTTTTTTTTTTTCTATAATCATCTGATGATGTTTCTGTTGAAGTTGAAGACTATTAATTAATTCATAATTTTTAATTTATATTCTGCAAGCAGAATAAAAGGTTTTTTTTTGTAAATTGTTCAAAAAAAAAAAAAAAAAAATTGATTAAAAATTAATTAGGTTATTAGCGTATGTATCCATAGCTGTCAGTACACTTTTATGAGTGCTCGTTGATTGTTAAAACAATATTTGATGGCAGCCATACATAACTATATACATATATGCATATATATACATAACTGAAAATAAATAAATTGTTCTCAAAAAGCGAAATTGTTTATAAATGGAAAATTTATAATGATTAACTGGCGCCAAAGATTTTCAATTTACAGATTTATACATTTGAGACTGTATGGTAGGGTAGCCTGGTTTATTTCTTAATTATGTTTATGGATGAAAACAAAAAAAAAAAAGAGAAAAAAATTTTTGCATTAAATTTGTATCGAATTTTAAACAAATAAAAAAATAAAAAAATATTTTTTCTTTTTTATCGCTTCAGTTTCTGAGTGCCATTTTGGTAAGACTTTACATGAACTGGGATCCAGTTGGTCCGCCGATCTGGGACCTCCGTTTGGCGTCATGTATTGCATTAAATGCGAGTGCGTAAAGGTACGTAAAACGTTTAACAAAATTATGAAAATATTTCAACACCTTTCGCCATTTTCATCTTTATTAATAAATGAACGATGAGCAAGAATGTGTTAATTGTTATGTAATTCGTTCGGAATAGCTTCACTCTTTCAAAAAAATTTAATGCTTACGAGAGGAAATTGGAACTGGTAATTAAATACTTCCAAAGGTGTTCAAACTAAATGAAGCCAATAAAATTTTGGCACTATGTTGCATAATTTTTTTTTGTTTTTTTCGGGAATCAAACATCCCTGTGCAAAGAAAACGAGTAGCTTCCTTTAGAAATAAATTTCCTTTTTTTTTTACAAAGAAATTTCTCTCGACAAATCGTCCAATTTGTAGACGCATTGTTATAAATGATTTTGCGGGAATGTTGTGTTGAAAAACAAGGCCAGCATTTGTCGTAACATTAGATAGAACGAGCTCGACATTTTCAAGTAAAAATTATCCTGCAATCGTTCCTAAGAAATTTCAAAGTTTTGAACAGAGTTATATTTATTGTTCATTGTATATTCCATGATATTATTTATAAGAAATTCGATTTTTGACGAATTAAAAACGATTCGTAATTAATTAAGCTAGTTTTAGGTAATCGCGAATGTGATGGCTAGTGACATTTTTTCATTCGTTCAAGTTATAAAGTTTGTTCAGGCTTAGTCATCTGGATGACCAGTAAGCGAAAGTATTTCCATTAAACACGACCACAATGGAAGAACGGAAGACAACGGTCGGATATAAATTGTAGTCGAACGTTTTAAGATCGATTAATTTTAATTTGAGAATAGGCAGCCTCCTCTAGCGCCTAAGTTGAACTTATTTTCAACAACAGTGCCACTGTTAAGTGTTTGCTCTAAACTTGTATAACTGTAAGGTATTTAAGTTAACACTTTGAAATTTTCTTATTTTATTTAACCTATTATTCTGATGTCAAGGAACTTTTATTTTCGTATTTGATTTGATGAATTGATATAGAATTGTTCGTCTTTAAGAAAAACGCTTAGGTAAACAGATTAGGAAACACGATTCGATTTAGGTTTCCACGGTGATCAATGTGTATTGCGTACAATTTCTACGATATTCTAGATCGTTATTAACAAATTGAAGAATAAGTAAAACTTTATCCTAAAAATAATATAATTGTTTCTTATAGAGCCACTGAAGCGTTTTCGATTATTTTTAGGTAAATGATATGAAAATCTGTGTGAACTTATTTGTTTTACTTTTGGCCTCGTTTAATGAGAGAAGAGAACAAAAATGTTAACAAAAAAAAACTTACAGCAAATTAAAAAAAAATTAATTGACGCCATAAAGTCTTTTTTCGTCTGCTTGTTTGTTCCGTTAACACACATTCTCAATACATATGAGATCCACTTGGTTTTTTTTTTTTTTGTTTCTTTGCTTTAGTTGCTATTTTTTATTTTATTTTATTTTTTTTTTTTTTGAATATACGCAAACACACACACACCGGGCACTTTTTGGGTTTTCAAGATTGATATAAAGCAAATTTTTATAAATATGCTAGCGCTTCTATATGTGTATTTACGTATGTACGTTCAATATTGTATATGGTATATCTTGTCTGGCTTTTGGTCATAGTTTTAAATATAAAAGCCACATCGCGGAAACATATATACTTATGTCTACTTATTATATCGTTCAAAGTTAACGTTCGTTTTCCCAAATTATTTACGCTTTAAAACAAATCGTCCATATTTTGTTATATTTTGCATTTAATTTTTCTAACCAAGTAATCCCAGTCAATAAGTTGTAATTAGATTTGGGTGTAAATATAAAACATGCATGTATCGTTGATGACGGAATATGTAGGGCTAAGGGATAAAATGTAGATGCAGAGCGATTATTGATTATAAAGGGTCATATGTCTATCTCTAGTATACGAACTCAAGGCCGTACCAAAAGGCGCACATCGTGACGTGTTTCGAGGATTGGAAAAAGTACTGGCACAAATGTATGATATCTAAAGCGGGATTACTTTCTTGGGAATAAAATAGATATTGATGAATAAATGACGATATATTTTTCGAGAAAAATAAGAAGTCGCCTTTTTTTTGTAGCAGGACAGGCAACTTAGTAGAATAATAATATTCGGTGGCCATGAACCATATATATGTAATTATTCAAAAAAAAAAAAAAAAAACTTTTTGAAAATATTTAAAAAGTAGCAACACTCGAGCCATTCTCGCTACAAATTTTTAATTCGCGTACGTCTTTGGCCCTTGCATTACTTGATGCAAAATTGAATGTAAAACAAGCAAGACAATTGTTATTCGCACGTGCACTGTCACGGTTACCCTAAGAAGAATTAACCAAAAGGAAAAAAACATACGTTTTCATACTTTATAATATATCCATCACCGAAGAATGAGAGACATATTCGTTTTGTCAAAACGTTTGCAACGCCCAAAAGGAAGCTTCAGAGACTTCACAAACTACAAATATTCTTGATTAACATCAAATTCCGAATCGATTTTAGCATGTCCGTCTTTCCCTCTCCCCAACGTTGTAGTATCCGTGGATATCTTCTTTTTCTCCGTGCGTTTTGCTTACCGCTCATAAAGCACAGCATATCCACCACATAAATTCCACTTTTATTCGGAAAGTATGAAACTTGAGCCGCGCCCACTCAATATTATAGAGTACGAAAATTTTGCTCTTTTCCTTTTTTGCATCTCTTTTAGGATAACGGTAATTGATATGAAAGATTCAGTCACAACCGTACATGGTTCTCTAACTTGTTGAACAAACTTGAGGAGTGGTACGTGAGCGTGCGTACCCTAGGAGTATGTGGCATTGCATCTATTGTGTCGATCTGTTTGTTTCGGTCATTAGAAACTCTATGGCAACTGTCGGAGCAGAGGTAGCCTAACGCCACGGATGCCACGGACCGAGAATCTACCCTGCTTTATACGGCGGCTTGATATTTGAGTGCAAGCCTTCAAATAGTTTCGCATAATCTGCAGTTACAGCCAAGTGCGTGCGAGGGGCACAATGTGCCTGACTGTACAGCTGCAATGCATCCACGTGCTTGATTCATACAAAGCCAGATACGTAAAATGTGGTTTATGTTGACAGGAGGTGGGGATATACCTCCAATGACGGCTCCAGGATTTTGAGTTATCAGCCTGATATTCCAGATTAGAGATGCCTCTTCTTTGCAATGGGTTGAGCCATAAAGAACCGCATGGTTAAATACTGCAAGGACGGCTATCTCCATTAATTTGTAAAGACACCTCCTATGAATTCCAAGAATAAGAAAGGCATTCAGAAACTCGGTAACCTAATCAGGATTTTATTACTGATACTATTTAATTGGGTGATACCCTCTAACAATTAGACTATGGATTTGAGGAGAATCAGTTAACTAAATATTTCTTATTATTTTATATAATTTTATATTGGAAAACAATTGATGTTCGAATTAAATTTCTACGCAGTTTGGCTCGTTTTGGTGACTTGGAAGTTAAAGGAGCGGACTGTCGTCACTCCGCTCGAACGAAAATCAGGATCTTAGTGAACATGTAAACGAAACAGGAAGCTTTAGTGTTTGCTAGAGAAAAAACCTTGAACTCGTCACGACAGAAAAATTCGACGAGTATCGTATTTCGTTGATGAAAATGTGATATAAGCGAGACAAATAAATCTCTCGTAATATAAACCCATTGATTGCGTTACTTGACTTTGACCTGCAGTGTCTTGACGTAATTCTACCACGTTTAAAGAACTCGCATTAAACAAATTATAAATTATAAATTTATTATAAAATACAATACTAACTTGCTATGAATTTTTTTTTTTTTTTTGTGCTAAATTTTTAGGTACCCAAAAAGAAGCGTATAGTCGCTCGTGTTCAATGCCGAAATATTAAAGAAGAATGCCCGACAACTACCTGCGATGAACCCGTTTCTCTCCCAGGCAAATGCTGTAAAACTTGTCCAACCGATAAACATGGTAAGCAAACGACGATATATTTAAAATATAAATAATCCAATGCACTTTCTTTTCGCATCAATATATTTTTTCAAATTATATTTAAATAAAAAATTATTTATTTCATTTTGTTGCTCATATCGTATAGTAGAAAACAATGAACAAAATGAAATATTGATTTATGACAATTTTGTAGACAATAAATTAGGAAAAGCGACTTAAGTAAAATTGACTTTCTAACTAGGTTAAAATTAATTGTCCCTTATCTATATTCCTCAAGTACAGAGATAATACGTTCAAGATACCAGGAACTATACACTCGCACATCCGCCTATCATTCCCTATATTGGAAAACGCAATTGTGCTTTCATATCGAGCTCTGTCTTAATTTTTTTCTCTTCGTCATATAAACCGCGTCTAAGTCTGTTATGAAAATATATAGATAAAGCGCTAGGTTATGTAGGCTAGATTATCCCAAATTACAACAGCGTTGCAATATAAAAAAAAACTAGAAAATTACTGCAGTGGGACATAGCTTACCATAAAATACTCCAAATCACTTTGCTTAACGCAGATGCATACACTAATTAAACGGCTTTTCAAAATAAGATATTGTATGGGAAGAGATTGAAAAAGTAATTCGACCCCATCGATTTTCAGTAACGTTCGTCGGTGGGCCAAAACATGCCAGTTTACCAAATTTCATTAAAATATCCCAAAAATTGCGACTTGAACACAAAAGATCAACACGAAAAAAGAGTCAGACGAACGAACAGGGTGGGTCGATCTGGCGTGCTTCTGCGTGTTGCATAAACTCGCACAAGCTTAATTTATCCTTGCACTACAAGTGGTGTAGAGTATAAAAAAAGTTTAAACAAATGTATTTTCTTGATATGTGCACTGTTCTCCAAAAACAAAAAAAAAGATCAATGTTTCACTTTCGGATCTGGTAGTTCGAAAAATTTCAACATCGTTTACTTGAGGTCCTTGTCTCATGGTCCCTTCTAAATCGAAGACAATAATCTGCTTAAGTTTGGCACTGAGGAGACTCTTTTCTTTCAGTGCGTGTGGCTGCGTTGCGTGCGACATATGTGTGTATGCCCTGATCAATGATAAGTATGGATTGACAAATTAAATTACGTTATAGTCAAAGAGCACTCACTCCGTGTAT